CTTCCCTCCGAAGACGAGGTAGGACGAATCAAAACAAGTAGATTGACTCAATTTCCCTTGGTAGACACTATTTAATGATCAATATTTAAACTAGTCAGGGATGTTCCTGCGAAATCGTGAAACACGACTGATTCGACCAAAATCGGTTACAGCGGATGAAGTTTCATCCCGCGAGAAATGTCTGACCAGCCTCTATCTCGTTAGTCGAACGAATTAACAGATGGCGCGATTACCTTTTGCTTGTTAAAATGTAATTGTTGATTGGAAAGGAAAGAAGAGGGACACGTCCGATGTTCACAAAGCCTGGCGCGAATATGAAGGGAGAAACCGGTTCGCGGTATCGGTTTGCTTCTCGCGAAGACCAACGCGATATAAGACCGGCGACACGTGTCTGTCAATAAGAGAGAGTCGAAGAAACAAAGTGGAACGATAGGCAGAAGAAAGAGCGAAGAGAATGAATCGGCGAAGTGGAAATAGGCGAAGCTGTTTCTCGTGAACGTCCGGAGGGGGCACCACGTGCTCCGATTACCATCGGCCAAAATTCCCATTTACATATTTTATTTTTTAAAGTATCGTTTTTAACGCCGCGTCGCACATGTATCGCATTGCCGCGCGATAAAGACTGGAGATAACGTAAACACGACGGAGCAACAGCTGACATTGAGACTGGATTTGCGTTATAGGAACGAAGTGCCTGGAAGATAAACTCGACGAGAAATTTATTTTTCTTTGACACTAGGCCTTTTGTTTTCAATCGAGAGAAGCGAAAATTAATCTTGCCTCGTGAGCGTAAGTTCTCGCAGACATTTATGGTATAATTTGTTGATAATTCGCGTCCGTGTTTATCGTAAATAGATATAAGATATAAGTTTGCTGCAGGGAGGATGTATCGAGGGAGAATAAAGTGAGAAGAAAAAAACGTTTACGCATCGCTGAATGAATGAATGAACATATGCACGTACAGCATCGAGACTGAAGGAATCACGCGTTCGACGCGATCGATTGTTAAATAAAAGGAAATTTAAATTAAAAGGGACGTACACTATGGACGTACACTACGATCGCTAGCATCGATAATAACAGAGGCATGCTGAGCGGGTTACAGATCCGTTGTCTGGCCTTATTTCATTCTCACTTGATCTGCTACTACTTCTAATCCGCAAGGTTCACGCAAGAGAGACAGAATGAAACGAGCGGCGAGTGATACGCCATTACACACGCGTACATCGTTCCCTGTCTATAAATAATTTTGCGGACGGCGTTAATTAAAGAGTTTCGATACTATTTCCGCCACTGTATACACAGTGGTCTAATTAATTGCAAGCCTAAATCGATATATAAGATTTTCGAATTCATTTATTTCAAATTTATTTATTATAATTGAGATACTACTGTAGCCGTATCGTGACAATGTTAAAGGTTAACATTTAAAACTTGGTATCGCAACTTATAAATAAATAACCATGGATATTTTACCATATCGCAGAAAATTATACAGAAAATTACGTTATCTTCATCGCAGTATAAATATTAAGGAGATTTCAGTGCCACGAATGAACGGCTAGTGAGTAAATTTATTGAAACGAAGTATCGCAGTAAATAAAATAATAACTCTAATTGATATATAATAAACAGAATAATTGTAAATGAAAATAAATACAGATGCTTCAGGTTTATCAACATCGTAATGGAGAAGACGAGTAGAATGACGATGACAAATAATTTTAGATTCTGTAAGTGTAGTAAATTAGATTTGTATTAAGTAATGATTATTTATGAGTTAGAAAAATTTTGATCGCCGTCGCGTAACGACATTGATCCCCAAGAATCTTGCTTGCCTTGATAGATCATTGAGTAACGCAGCAGAAATCGGTACGTCTCGCCTTGCAACGTCAAAGCAAAGATGAAAATGCTTTCACTGCAGAAAAGATCGGACGAAGGGACTTCATGCCCGTTTCTGACCTGCGTAACCACTTTTTCTTGAATAATGGATATAATTCTGTTACGTACTATGAATGCGCAACGAGAGAGAATTCGTTTAAAAACAGTTCGATTCATTTTAAATCTGTCACTCGAAGAAATGAAGTTTTCTTCATTTCTCACCTTTATTTTAATGTGAATTATATTATGTACTAAATTGTACATTATGTACTTCTTCTCGAGAACGACGTTTAACATTTGAAGATCGTTCAACATTTAAAAATCGAAATTGAAATGACTTGCGACATGCGACAAACGAAAAACGACAATTACAAACGGGATATATTTGGTTGCAGTAAATTTCATTTAAAATATGAAGAAAATCTCGATTCACTTTTACTAACTAAAATACCAAATTACTTTTCACTCAACCTAATATATAATATCAATTATAGTATATATTTATATAATGTATATCAATTATAGTATAACGTCGTGAACTTTATATTCAATAC